TCAGATCAAAAGGAAAATATGAATGTGTTTGCTGAGTACTGAAAACACAAACTCCGCACACTTCCCTGAAAATATGAAAAAATTCATGAGTTCAGCCCCTGCAATTCTAACCAGGGTGAATGGTCAGACCATAATGTGAACTGCACAAAACATCTTCATCCTCTTTCATTAAATGTGGACTAAAATATTTTAAGTGATTTTCCTAACCAGTACATCCAAAACAGTCTTGCCCACAGTTCTGTCACCCGACAAATATGTGAAAGCATCCTCAAAATACTAAACGTCAGCAGCAGCCTTGCGGAGGGGACGCTGGGCAGCACAGCCAATTCCTACCCAGGCATCTCGAAGGGAAAGGCTGGGCAGTGGCTCCTATCACCTGGAGGGAGAAGGGACAGTCCAATCTCCTGCCCCTCATCGAGCATCAGGGAAGACAGTCCCAACATGGGTCTGGCTGTAGCATCTGCAGAATTTATGCTCTTGGAGAACAGAGGAAATTGTAGTACAAATGGCGCCACCTGGGTCCAATGGCACTGGGCTGTGTCCCCGTAAGTCATCTCAGGAGAGGTGGGAGGTGCTAACTGCTGGCCTTTGGGGCCTGACAGTGAAAACCAGCCCAGGGTTTTCATTAACGTCCTGTGCCCACCGCGAGCCAGGACCCAGGCCAGGGACAACCCCAGCCACAGATTGGAAGCTCCTTTCAGGCAGCTCCAGCATGGGACAGTCTTGGTTCACTCTGATGAGGGTGAAGCAGAGCCTCTGGGAGCCCCACTGTGCACCCCAAGTCTGGGGCAGCAGAGCGCTTGGCACCCAGGTGTCTTTAAGACTGTGATGTGTGGCTAAGGTTGCCTGCATCGGCCGAGTTCCGTGTTTGCTCCCCTGGGCCAGCTCCAAGAGTAATGACCACAAGTTGGACCTGTGAGTGTCTGTGCGCTGTCCCCATGGTGATCCTTTTGATTTAAGCTAAACTTGCTTTTGGGAGGCGAGTCTCACATTTATCAACTGCTCCCTTATCACATTTTGGGGCCACAATTTTATGACATAAAATTTTAGTGAGGGAAATGGGAATTCCCCTACAGAGTCATCCAGATAAACTCGGCTGGGTGCAAACAGGAGTGAACCGGGACACCATGGAAGGGACATCCATGTTCCACTCACACCCAGCTACCTGCCAGAAAAGAATCCAGCTTGGACCATGACACATGATGAAGTCTAAAGTCCAATGCCTGGGAGGGACCTCCTCAAGGCAGAGAGCATGCCCTGCTGCCAGATGGCCACCCCAAGACCATGCAGTTCCTGGTCCTCATCAGACAGTCCCTTGACTGTCACCCTCAGAGGCTGGGGCCACCGTGAGGCTGAGTGTGAAGGCTTCCTCATGGCCCTTCAGCAGAATGTCCCACTGGGGTTATCTACGGGAACATGGTAGGAAACGGGCATAAGACGCCCGATGAACGGGGCTCTGTGACCTCCTTGGTCAGCCCTTGTTTTCACAAGCTAAGTCTGCCTGTGTGATTGCTTCTAGAGGCTTCTCTCAAGAGCAAATCCTGGCATTAAATGTATTAGATTTCCTCTTATCTCAGCACAGGTAGCTGAGGGAAGTCAAGGCACAAAGCTTTATCTGAGTTTCCCAAATGTGTGTCTAGTGCCCACTACCTAGACACAAATGAGGGAGGACATGGTGCCAGGTGTGGACCCTGCCCCTCACTCCATGGTGTCCCTCACTGGGGTGCAGGTGTGGACCCCTGGCCCTCAATTCTTGCCAGTGCCCCAGCCCTGGGCCAAGCTGTCCATGAGGACACACAAAGCCCAAGGCCACTGTCCAGGAAGAGCTGTCCTTTCTATCAAAGGTGTGAGGACTCTGAAAGGACAGAGATCTTTGGCTGGAAAAGCAGAGGCCGAATGAGGCATACTGTTCCTAATGGTGCAACCTTGAGTTTGAAAATGTTCCTTAAATGAATATTTGATTGGCATCAATGAGCAGACTCGTCCTTTGTGGAATGTAAAGTGAACAATGTCCAGCAGTCTTGGAAGGTAGGGTGTCAGTGCCTTGCGCTCCTGCATCCATGGCCCCTGGGACACAGGGCTCCATGCCTGGTCCTGGTGCTGTGTCAGGTGACCTGCCACCACAGGGCCCAGCAAGCCACCTCCAGGAGGCAGGAAATAGAGCTGGGTAAAGGATATCAAGTACCCGCCTGGATAAACTGTGTGTGCATTGTGCATATGTGTGCACATGTGTACATGAGTGCATGTTTATGCATGTTTGTGTGTATGCATGCACAAGCACATGCATGCATGTCTGTGTGTGATGTGTATGTGCACGTATGCATGAGTTTGTGTGCACGTGTGTTTGTGCATGTGTGTGTACACGTGAGTGTGTGACGTGCACATGTGTTCCCCATTCAAGGAAAGTGAGTGCTTTGATCCAAGTTTTCATCAGCAAAATTAAAAGTAAATAATATGCTGTTTACTAAAACTTAAATGCCCACTGGAAAAGAGTTCAAGGGAAAAATGAGGATACAGAATTTGGGGCATCAGGTGGATGGCATTCAATAAATTCCTTTCTTCTTATTCTGTAGTTAGGAGTGGATGTTGGGGAAGAAAAAATGTCATTTGCAGAAAACCATTTAATTCACATGGCACACTCCCTCCTCCTCAATCTGAATCCCACCGGACAGATTTTCACGGTAGGGAGGGTGTGCAAGCGTGTGAGAATGGGACCATTAACATGTAGCTAATCTGAATTATGTTCTCCTTCACTTTTACAGACATTTTCTATACAAAGACATTTCTTTTTATTTTTTGGAGGTACTGGGGTTGAACTTGGGTCCTTATGCTTGTGAGGCAAGTGCTCTACCACTGGAGCCACACCTCCACCCCTTTTTTACTTTGTTATTTTTCAGATAAGATTTTAAGTTTTTGTCCAGGGCTGACATGGACCATCGTCCTTCTACTTAATGCCTCTTGAGTAGCTGGGATTATAGATCACAGGGATGAACCCCCATGTCAGGCTCATTTGTTGAGATGGGCATCTCACATTTTTGCCTGGACTGGCCTTGAACTGTTTTCCTCCTATCTCCACCTCCATGTCCCTGGGATTACAGGTGTGTCACCATGTCTGGCTTAAAAGATATTTCATATTTCTGCTTCAACATTTTGAACAGCTTTCCCACTAAAAATTTCACTTGTGATCACAACAAAATGACAGTCTTTCTCCTACATATCCTCATGGCACCATGACTTTCTGACTGGGCTAAAGTTAGAAGGAAACTCTGCAGTCAGTATGCTCCTCCCAAGTTAGGTGGACCGGACACCCCGCAGTGTCTCCATCCTCACCTCCCAGCTCTTCCCAACTGAGGTAGAGCTGCCTCAGGCCCTAGAGGCCCCTGGTTCAGACAGGTATGGAACCTAATCCTGGCTCCCCAAGACTCTGATGTTGAGGTCTGGGGGCCCTGTGGGCTGGCCACCCCATGAAGCCCAGGTGCCCTGATATGGCCAGGCCTTGGCCATCCCAACTCTTCACCTCGGCACCTTCAGCCTTCAAGTTTTGGGATTCAGATGTCACAGTAACACAGCTTCCTAAGGCTGCCCTTCTCCCCTGCCAAGTGCAGACTCCAGGACCTGATGTCCAGCCCTCCACAGCGGGCTCCACCTTCTCTCCCAGCCCCTCCTGTTGCTCCATGTGGACTGGGATCTACCCCGGGACCTTGGTGACTCTTACCTTGGGAAGAAGATCACACCATCTCCCCATCACGAGTTAACACTTTAGAAACAGCATCTGGTCACACAATCAAACTCCGCAGCGTCATTCTGTCCATCCTCAGGTAAAATTATCTCCTGCTGCCTTCCTGCAGAAGCCTCCTGCCCACCTACCTTGGCTCAGGCCCCAGCCTTTCAGTAGCATTTAAATGTTTGGTGTCCTCTAAGACCCTAAGTTTGGTTAAACCATGACGCAAACCATGATGAAGAAAGAATCTGTGATGATGTTCAGCACTGGTCATGGTCAAAGGCACACAGATGTGACAAGAAAAAAGTGTCAGCTCCAGCAGAACACAGGCACACAGCTCGCAGACACACACCGTGCAGGAAAGACTTGTGTCTTTGCCAACTCAGCCTGCAAGGGGCTTCTAGCATCCCAGGAGCCCCACCTCTGAGTGCACACACAATTCTTTTGTTTTGGTTTTTGTTTACTTGAGACCAAGTCTTGCTATGTAGCCCAGACTGGCCTGGATCTAATGACACCTCAGTCTCAGCCTCCCAACTGCTGAGATTACAGCCATGCACCACCAAGCCCAGCTAGTAAGCAGACATTTCTCCAGCATGTCACTGGAAGAGTTCTTGGGGCTAAATGAGAAGGTAAAATTCTGTCCTGGTTGTCTCAGAAAGTACCCAGGTCTGTTGCCTAGAATTCTGCATGTGGAAAAGAACAAATACATTCAGAAGCTGGTGAAGACAGGCATTGTGCCCTGGAGGTGGCTGACATGGTGGTCATTTACTGAACTCAGAGACTGCTGGCTAACAGCCCCTCCACGCAGAGTATTTCCAAAGGTGGGTCTTGTTTCTAAGAGAACATGGGAAGGGAAGTAAGTCTCCTTGTGAAGCCGTTCATCTTGGGTCTAAGACGCCATTGTCTGTTTCCGGGAAGTATTTCGAGGTGTGGCTCTAACTTGAGTGTGCACTTTAGATCCTATTTCTGAGCTGGGAAATTGAAAATGAACATTGCAAGTGTAAAGACAGAACCCAAAACTCACGGAAAGTTGCACGTGTGCTGTGGTAGGAACCCCATTTGCTGAAAGGAAAACTGATGCAGGGTTGAAAGAGTCGACAGCAGTTTCAGACTGTGGGGGAAAACAATACTTCTAAGAATGACCCTCTTTTGAAACTCATCAAAATTACTCTTCACCGACATGAGCTGAGAAAAACATGACGAGCTAAATAAATACCCCAGGCACGCACACCTCTTGCAGCCAGTCCTGCGGTCTCTGCACAGAGCGGACCGAGCTCACCTTTGCAGTTCCCCCGGTACGCGATCTCTAACTGGGGGTCTTTGCACTTGGCGCGCTGGAACTCGCAGCGGGACAGGAAGGTCCTCCCGTCTGACGCGCACAGAGGCTTCTGCGGGGAGCCCGCGCAGTCCAGGCTGCAGTCTCTGTCTTTGTCCTGATCGACTCTCAGGAACTTGAGGGAGACAAAGAAGGCAGACAAGTTTAAAGAATTGTTCTGTGGAGCAGCAGGAGACAGAAAGCCACCGAACAGCCAGGGAACAAAGCCGTGAGGGGTACAGCCATTCAGTGCTCTTACGAGTGTTTGCAAAAACTGTAAGCACCATCTGTTTTCAAAACCTGGTCATCGCCGATCCCCTTGTCCCTAGTTGTCGTGATACAGAACGCCACGTGCAGCCCTTTCTCTGTGGGCTCTTTGCTCAGGGGTCTGTTTCACACTTATCCTCGAGTAGAGGGGGTTTTCTTTCAGTAAATGCATACCATGTCCCCTATTCTGGAAGTCGGGAGTGTCAGGAGCGTGCCCGGCTGGGACAGGAAGGTCACATCTCCTCCTTGAAAAGCCACCAGGCAACCACCTGCATCCTCAGAATCCCTGTGCATTCGTGTTTGAAACGGATAGCTGCCTTTTTAAAGCATTTTTATTTATTACATTACAGCTGTACAGGGGTTCATTGTGATATTCACATATGCACGCAAAGCACCCAGGTTTGGTTCTCCCCCTCCATTTTCTCTCTCTTCCCTCCCCCTCCCCCTCCTGTACCCTCTTCCTTCCCCTCCCCTTCCCCCTCCATAACCTCTTCCTTCCCCTCCCCCTCCCCCTCCTCCTTCCCTCCCCCTTCTGTACCCTCTTCCTTCCTCCTCCCCGCCCCCTCATACCCCCCCCTTGACATGACCTGTCCTGCAGTCCTGTCCTTCAGTGTGTAAGTCCTGCTCGTTGTTCAGTGGGCCTCGGCCTTGGGATTTTACTGTAAATGCATTGCACTTTAACCCGTCAAACCCCCTCTATTACTCTGCCTTATCCCCTTCCCCTACCTGTGTTGCTCAGCAGTTTTCAGCGTGTTTCTTTGTGTCTCGTTCCTACACGGACGTGATGTGCTTCACTACCATTCTCTTCTCTTTCCTCCTCCCCAGGACCTCTAACAGCCCCGCCATTGGAAGGGGCTTTGTACGTGTGTGTGTGTGGGTGTGTGAGTGAGAGTGTGTGATTGTGAGTGTGTGACAGAGTGTGTGAGTTGTGTGACTGTGAGTGTGTGAGGGTGTGTGTGATAACCATGCTGCATTTGTGTTTGGATCGATCTGCCACATATGAGAGAAATCATGCAATGGCTGGTTTTGAACAAATGTTTGTTGCACACATGAGTGACTCAGACCCAGGGCTCCACACACCTTTCTACAGCAGGAAGAGGGACTCCAAGGAGGCCCCCAAAGGCCTCACTCACACTCCATTCTCAAACCAGGCAGCTGCACCAGAGACCCCTCTGTGGCAGCACTGGGACTGGCCTTCAGCTCTGTTTTGCTGGACAGAGTTTCCAAGGATGGCCTCAGGTTTCTGATGGTTCCTTTTCTCTCTCATGCCCTTGACACCAGGTTCCAAGTTCACCATGACTCCTGGAAGTCCCAGATGCAGAGGCTGTGGCCCTGCCTGTCCTCCTGCACAAGTGATGGGACACCAGGCCCAACTGTCACCTTCTGTCCTCACTCTGCCTGGCCCTGCCTATCCAACATGGACAGGCTTTAGAACAAGATAGGCAGAGCCATCCTAGGCCTTGGCCATGGAACATCACCCACCTTACACATACTTCCTCTGGATTCTGGAGCATTAGTGAGGCAGGTTAGAGAATAGGGAAGTCACTGGACTCAGGAGCCATGTGACCTCTCCTAGTGGCAGAGCTCTTTGGTCACACTCTGTGCATGTAACTCAAATACCTCAGAGTAACTGTCAATCACCCTACCCCACCCACTGGAACCGCCCAATTCTCTCCCTGCCCACAGGTTACTGGTGATCTGAGACCCCCCAGGCGACCAGTGATATACAAACGCCTTGAACCACAGAGCCTACCCCTTTCTTTTCCTGGTTGCTGCTTCTCCACCCGGCAGAGACCAGGTTGCCCTGTGATTACCTAGTAAACTTCACTATCTCCCTTCCTATTTATATGTGTCCTGCCTGGATGCAAGAATTTAGGAGTCTTCTGATCAAGGGATTGATAGAAAGAAAGAAGAAACCTCACAGAGTAACCCAGGACAGTACACGTGGGCCCTCTGGGCAGTGCCCAGGTTTACATGGCTCATGGACACAAGGGATGCTCTGATGAAGATGACCGATCACCTCTTCTAGTCTGAGCTGCAGGATAAACAGAATTGGGGCTGAGCAAATGTGAGGGACCAGTCAACTTGCTTCTGCCTCAGTAAGAGAGAAAAAAGAAATCCTCAAACTCAGGATATGCTTCCTGTCTAGGAAAGTCACCAAAACCTCCCAGGAAGGGCCAAGTTGGGTTGGCCTTACTGAAAGATTAGCAGTGATGGAGTTGGAGTGAAGGCCAGGTAGAGGAACAAAATGACTCGTGGAGGATGGACTGCCCATGAGAGACCCAGGCAGGGTGCCCAGAGCTCCCCACCCAGGAGGGGTGGTCACTGTGGTGTGGCTAGTGATGCAAACCCATGTTTCTTCCAGAACTCAGACAAGTGTTTCAGCAGGGCCTTCCACAGACTGTGGGTAGGGATGGAACCAAGAGGTAGGTTAGCCACCCAGAAGGTGGCAGGGTCTTCACTTCATGGGAAGTGAAGTGGTCACTCTTGGTCAAAAGAGAGTTATTTTTCAAATTGTTCAATGTCAGGCAGGATCATCTGCTATGGTGCCCAGGTAAACTGGTGCAAACAGATCACTGCCTTTCAAGGTTTTGCAAACACCTCATCTTTACTTTAAGACGGCAGAGCCAGCACGTGACACCTTCAATTGAATTCTTCCACCAAGGGTCTAGTGCATATTTTTACTTTGCCCAAAAATGGCTTTAATTTCCTAACTGGGAGGCATCCCAGGAAGAAGGAGGCACAAGAGGCAGGCAGCTCCTAGAGGGGATGGCCCTTGGGTGCTGCCCTGTGGGAAGCTTGTCCCCACGGCCACTGCAGGGTAGATAAGCTTTCTGTCGGCAGCACCGCCCTCCCCACAGCCCAAGGAGTTTGATAGACTCCATTTCTCCATGCATGGCTGACCCGGAGCTGCATAGCTGCACCAGAGAGAGGCTGGAGAGAGCAGGCAGTGTCCACAGCTGGGAGCTGGGGCTGCCCTGTAGCTAGCACTGCTCTGTGGTAGATAAAAAGGCTGACTGACCTAAATCCTGGTGATTGCCACGTGTGAGTGTGGTCTGTTTGCATTTCCTGAGGACGTAGGTAGGACACCTCAATTATCACTTTCTCCAAATGGAAAGAGAGACTACCTGTACATTTGTTACTTTTAAAAAATAATGGAGCATTCATTCAGGCTTGGAATTTAGCCATCGTGCTTGATCCTTTAATGGAACAGAGCTAACAATGGAAGTATTTTCTCACAGAAATAAGAGAACACACCGTTTTTAATAGCAATTAAATTCCAAGGGAGACAGTATATGGAAGAAAATCAGCTTTTAAAAGTCAGTTGTATTCTTTAATAAGCAGAGTCTCAAAGAAAAATCTAATATTCCCATCCTAGAGAATTCACTATTTATTAAAAGAACTTCATTGAGAGCCGTCAAACTGATTCAAGACAGAGGCCCTTTGCCAAATTTAGAATGGAATCAATTTAACCTCGAGAAAGAAAACCTTTCAGTTATAGGGGTTCCCCACTTCTTATTTTCACAAGCACCGCTGTTTGCACAGGTGTGAGGAGAGCAGGTGTGAGGAAGGCACAGACAAGGCCCAAGACACGTCTTTGTGGATGTCAAGTACCTCATGCCTTGGAAGAATAAAAGTCAAACACAATGGATCAAAGGCATGGTCTATGTTTTTCTTAATACATGTCTGGGTTTAAGCCAAAAGAAAAATATTTAAACAAAATCAAACCGGTTAAGAAGCAGGATAAAACACTCTTCACATCTCAACATGAATGAATTTTCCACATCACGATGATTGGCGGCTCTACCAACAAGACAGGGGATAGCATCATAAGAACACAAAAATCTGTGGCCATGAGATGTCCAAAGCAAGCCCTTCCCTAGAGACAGGTCAGTGCCAGGCTGCTCCCCTAAGAAAAGGGCACCACCAGGGACCATGGCTGAGCAGAAGATAGTGCCATGGCACCACAACCAGATCTGGCAGCTTTGGGCACAAGTAACTGTTGAAGTACTGGGGGCGGGAGAGGGGAAGCAAGTCTCACTCAAGGAGCCATCTCCACTTGACAGGCTGGACTCCCCTGCCTCCCCACCACACTTTCAGTAACATGGAGCCAGCAAATCTGTGATGCACAGGGAAGTCTTTGGAGCCTACCTCTCAAGCTAAGATGCTGAAGTGAATTTTATCCAGAGGGATGCTTTTCCACTTGATGGAAGTAGTTAAGCCGTGCTGTGTGTGTTGAAAATACCTTGCTGCCACCACCACCCCGTTTAGTCCCACCTGTCCACCACATCAGTCTCCAGTTGAGAACCAGCTGGAGCCTCCTTTCTTGGTGACCACCAAGTTGCACCCTCTCTGAAGGATTCTCACTGGGCTCCAGAAAGAAGGCTGCCCAGCCCAGCTCACAGTCCACAGCCACTACAAGTGAAGCAGGCCATGCTGACAGACTTAGTTGAGACACCTGGCTGAGGACACATGTTTCCTAAAAGAGCTCAGGAAAGCAGAGAGTGGATGAAGAGCCACCGGGACCAGAATCCCAGCAGGCAAATCAAATCAGTGAAAGTCAGTGCAGAAGTCAATACACAAAGAGATCAGGATGAAGTGACACGGAGGAGACCTGATGCACGGTAGCAGCCTGCAGACCTATGAGCTGGACCCATACTGAGGACTGGCCAGCTCAGATGTGCAAATCGGGAGAAAGGGAACACCCCTGCCCCCGATCAGAAAGTTCCACAATGCAGACAACAGTGATGCTCGCCAACAGCCTCCACACAGACCCTGACGGAGTTTACCACGGTTTTCTGACCTTGTTGTGGTGTGGCTCTCAAATGTCCTTGAAAGGCCATGTGTTAAAAGCTCAGTCCCCAGAAT